CCCGAGAGAATGATAATGAATTTCTCAAGGGCTAGAAGTCCTGTTTCACCTCTCCTTAAAACAGGGTGTATCAGTCTACTCTTCACTATTTTCTCAGTTTTCATGTCTGCATGTTGCTAGGTCTGTGGGTCTTAGGGTGGCTGCCTCTGTCTTACGGACAACACAGCATCCTAGGCCTGGTGTCTAAGCATTTGGCCCTGGCCACAGTTACACCAATATTCTGGGTGTGCCTGCTGTTGGTGGCTATTCCTGTCTTTCATTTACCCAAGGTCACAGGAGGAACCTTTTGTTTTCAGATAATAGGCTATCTAAAAACCTAATACAGCAAATAAATAAACTCATAAGAATAAACATCAATTTACAGGAAGTCTACGCACAAGAAATTTTGTTCACAGAAGATTGTAAGTTAAAAGTCCAATATTTAATATTATTTTTATAAGGTTTTTATATGAATTTACTAGCAACAAACCACATTTAGGTAGTTTTGCCAGCTACTCTTTCACAATGAACCATTGAGAAATTGTTCTACGGGAACCATGTACTACCATCTGACTTGAAATCCCATGATGTCCAATGTCTGTGTTCAAGGGAAGTTCATGATGCAAGTTCTTCCCCCTTGTGGACATGCGGTACACGAGGACACCCCTGACAAAGTAAGAGATTTTTGATTTTCCAAGCAGAAACAAACCACCAGCTTGTTTTGGTTTCTAGTAGAGAATTCTGAAGATGGATTTCAGTGGTGACCTTACAGTTTCAGAACTGAGCGGTCTCATTCTTAAAAAGTGCTGCATTTGTACAGGACAGGGTTAGGAATTCTGTGAATTTTAAAACACGATAAAAACAACCCTATAAAATCAGAATGCAGATTTTTTTTTTCGTTCGCCTAGGTCGCAGAAGCCCTGGCGAGCTTCATGATTCGACAAAAGTTTGCAGAAGCCAGGAGTGGAAACAAGAGGTACTGTAAGCTCTCATTCTAATCAGAAGGAAAATTTCAGGTTGGTAGTGCAGATCTGCTGAGTTGCACAAAAGAAGGCAAAAAAATTAATCAGGGATGGATTTGTTGCCATTGAATGAGTTTGGTGTTAGCTATCCCTATCGGATTTGATAGATTCCTCCTTTGGAACAAATTCCTTGGTTTCCAAAATACAACAGTACACAAAAAAAGGGAGCTCACACACCAAACCTTAAATAAAACAAAGTAATCAAACAGGTTTTAAAACAAAGAAAGGACCTGGCCTTGCTGTGATCTTTTTTGCACTGCCTAGCCATTAGTGAATTGGCACACATGAGAATACCTTCTGTCATTGAATATCACCAAATGCTGTGTAAGTCTTTCTTCACCCAGTTTCTTATAAGCGATTGTAGCTGCAGTTAAACTCTCCCACCCGCAGGAGTGGGAGATACATGATACGAATCTGGGAGTTGTCATTTAGGAGGAGCAGTCCAGGCCTCAGAAGCACAGATGCATACCGAAGCACATTAATCACTTGTTTCCAAAAACAGTCTCTTCCCAGATATCCAAGACAAAGCACTGGGGCTGTGTTGGTCATATTTCAGTTGTAATATTTTAGTTTGATTGGGAGCAATCTTCATCAGGAACCACTAATATACTGTTACATGCTGTAGTTATGCAAATGTAAAGTGATTGAACTGGTGTGCTGTTTTTAGGGAAGCAGGATTCTCCCTTACTCATCCCAAATAGAATTACTATTCAGCTAGTATAGTTCTTTATTCTATATGCCTTCTACTGTATGTGTGAGGCACTCTTAGACCCTCTGGGATGAATAGTTGTATACTGTATGAATGTAAGGAATTACTATCATGTTGGTGATATAGGGCAGAGCTGAGATGCTCAAAAATGAGAAAAACCAGGAAACAAGTATATATTCTTCATATCCTGAAACCTGGATAGGCTACTGACATCACAAATGTCACCTGGAGTACAAATGTTTCTTGTAGACTACGGTGGATAAGTAAAACTGCTACTGACCTCTGAACTGCTCCTTCTAAGTGACCAATACTTGATGAATACTTGGTGCAGATGCATCCAATTAGACAATATTAGAATTTGTATGTAAGCATATATATATATGCACTGTATATCTGCAATGTTAGCTTATTAAAAACTGTATATCTGTTATTAAGGTGCAGCTTCTGGATTTGATTCCAGAATGGAGTGAGTTCTGTGCAGATTTTGCATTGATATTCATTGGGTGGTCTGTTTTCCTAATTTCATTGGTGTCTCTAAATTGTCATTGTATGCATGTGTGTGCCCTGCAATGTACCTGCAATAGGTGATACATGCAAGAGTGCAGATTGCTGTTGTTATTTCCTTGTACTGATAAAAATATGTATCTCACCATTGTCCATGGATCTCATGTGCTGTCCTGTTTTCTCAGCTCCTCCTATCCATATATGAGGTGAAACAGCCAGGTGAGAAACCTTTTCAGTTGAATACATACAGCTTTGCCTTAGTTGCCATATTTAATGAAAGCAATGTTTTACTGTAGGTAATGCTTGCTTTGTAATGCAGACGTTAGTAAGATGAGTAGAAAGCAGACTGAATGGAGATTATTAAATCAGGTTTCTTTCCAAAAGAAAAGTAACAGTCTCCAAAAATAAAGATATTCACATGATAAAGATGTATCAAGATTTTGTAATCTTCCTAGATTTTACAAAATATTCTGCGTCTGGATCTTTCTTGTAATTTTTATTTTATTGTAAGGTACAAGCCTGTCTGAACCTGCCTCCAGGAAGAATGTCTGAAGGAAATCTGTTTCTGAAGAGCTATGTGAAAAATCTGTCTTTTTCTTCACCGTGATTTCAACTTTTTGAAAAGGATAGCAAGCCGTTTCTCAGTGGTCAAGAACTGTGATTTTGTTGGATTCTGTTTATTTCTGCCTGGTTTAGGAAATGTCAGTTTTAGATAATACACAATTTTACACAGAAAACTGTGACACACTGAAATTGGTCACACTCAATAAATGTAATTTTCATGTTCCTTTTGTATTTGTATTAGTTGTACTGTTATGTTTCACAAACATGCTTTATAGGAGTGATAGCTATTAACAAACTGCAAAGGGAGAACATTTACATTTTCTGTAGCTTACATTGACTTTGTAATTTTTTAAATTGTGATTTTTATGGTTCCTTTCAGCTGTTGTTTAGTATAGCTAGATGTATAGTAGCATCTTTGGAAATACTGTAAACGAATTATTCGATTTTTGTATTTGGATGTCATTGTTACTGTTTGGTTCCCATAGCTATCTTTTTTGTGGGGTTTTTTTCCCCAAGATGTCTGGTAGTCTGCCTCTTTGATGGATTATTGTACCAAAACTGTGCTATTCTTAAAAGTCTGCAGACATTTTGTACTAACCTTATTTCAGTTGAATCTCTAAACCAGGTGAGCTCATGAATTAACTCAGGGGACAGTACTGAGTTACAACATTTTTTGCTTTAATACACATTTCATCTCGGAGCTCTTAAACTACTTTTTATATTTAATAAATCATATTGGTTTTAATAAACATTAGTAGCTGGTAAACCATACTTTTTTGTAGAAACCTATGGGAAAAACTGAAATCACTCTTGTTGTTAATAGTGCATCTAATTTTCTTCTAAAAATGAAAGATTCCCACTGCAATTGATAAGATAAATTTCTAAGTACTTTAAATTCCTCTAAATCTTACAGATGGTTTAACACTGCACACCTGGCCTGAGTACTTAAGCAGAAGAAATGCTGTTTAGCATGGCTCTAAAAACTGAAACATTGTATATTCCTTCAGGTTGAAAGTGTAGATTTCAGTGTATATGAAAGCCATGGTTAAGCTCCCTGCAGTTAAGAATGGTTGCTGACCGATTGATCCTGAAGTTTTCTTCTTCATTTGCTGTAAATGACCGTCATTGCTTAACTACGGAAAAGATTGTATATTCAACTAGAAGGCAGCAAAACCACCAAAATAAAGCTGAAAACATGGAAAAAAGGCAATGTCGGAAACATTTCTCACGTATGTAGCATTGCGTTATTTATTCTACATTCTTTTATCAGTTTTTGTGGCGGAAACCATGAACATGACATTTAAAAATTTTCACATTGAAACAAATTAAAACAGCAACTTCAGATACAGCAACAAATTACATAAATAAAAAAGACCAGCTGGTTCCTCAGTATGATACAGAGGTAAGACGTCAGGTGTGACACTTTAATAACTATAGTGAAGAAAAAGCCCTTGATGGGCCAAATAATAGAGAAACGAAAAAAACTGTGACTCAAAGTGCAGGTGCTCCAGTATCAATAGAGTACAATATATCAATAGACAGCTAACATTTTAGATCAGTGTGGCAAAGTTTCCAGAACAGTATGTAGTCAAGCCACAGGAGTACATATCCGATTAGATACGGCTTTGAACATAATGTTAGCTTTTAATTTTATTCTGTTAAGAGAATAAGTATAGATCACAACATAAGAATACATAGCCTAACATGATCTAACAGGTTATTAGTTTTGTACATTACTCCATATAAAGTATAGCAAGCTTAGGTTGTATATTGTAGATAAGTTTAAAATGATTGCATTTCCTTCTCACTTAAGGTCAGAATCAAATACTTTTCTTTGCTTTTCCACCACATCTTCCTGGGAAATCAGGATTCTCCGCATGGATTATAGCTCTGTTAACAGTCTAAGAATAAAACCGCTTTTTCACACATCATAAAATACAGTGTCAAACTTTTTAAAATTCTATATATTATTATTAATTAAACATATAAACAACTTCTCAGTTCTCAATCAGTGTTATCTACCACCTACCTAGCCGTTGTTAGCAGATGAATATTACACAGTGCACTTAAGACAGACAGTACCTCTGTTTACAATTGTATTGGTATTAACTTCTTGGGTCTACAGGTGGAAGAATAATGAAAGAGACAGCGATACAGTTTATTTATTTTTCTGAGCTCAGCTTTCAGCCAGAGAGAGTGGAGATCTCATAGTCACTAGCAGATATGATCTGTCTCCCCACCTTTCGAATATTCTTGGCGTTGGAGATCCGCGCCACGATCTCCACTGGTTTCTCGAAGTAGATGACCAGGGCTTGCTCTGTCAGCACTGAGGCCAGAAACTGCTCAAAGGTGATGGCCCAGTCCTTGTCAATGCTGGTGCTATGCGGCAGGGAGTTGCCATGGTTACTGCGCACCAGCACCGTGTCATCAGCAATATCTTCGCACTGCAGCTTTTCTTCCATTTCATGGGAGCCGGCGCTCAGCACCGAGTAGGAGGACATGGAGGTGTCGTCCTTGGTCTCGTCATCGGAAATAAGCATGGCGGAAGACATGCCAATATCCTTCGGGGACGAATCTTCTAGCTTGATGTCCTCCATCTGTGAGCAGAGAGGCTGCTCACCGCAAGCCCCCGAGCTGCAGAACTTCGCTTCGCCTTCCCCCTGTGTGGTCATACCAGAGAGAAAAGGGTCCCCCTGCCCATTCTGCTGGAAAAGGGAGTCCCCTTTAGCCTGGCCCATGGCACTGTCTTTGATGTCCCTATTATCCTCCCCACCAGCTGGGCTACAGAACAGTTTTCCCACCTCCCCAATCTCTAGAAGAAGACTGGTCACTGTGGCTGTGGCGTGGTACAGGTCCTGCTCATTTGGGTCCTCACTGAACATGTTGTAGAGCGTCTTGCACAGCTCAATAAACTGCCCCTGAGCCAAAAGCAGACAGGAAAGAATCATCAGGGTGGGTCTAAAGAGGTTCCTTTAGAAACATCCTTCACGTAATTGGTAAGGTTAGACACAGCTTCACAAAGCAGTTCATCATGCGCCCCATTTGATGAGGACAAAAACTGAATCTGGCAATTTCAGATCATTTCTCATAAGGAATTAATGGAAAGCTGTAAAAGTGCTTCAGATAAATTTTAAAAAGCTATACGAGTTCAAATATTTTTGATGTACAATTTGAGCATGAAATTACATTTTTTTGTCTGTTGAGCTTTTGAAATAAATGATCAACTTCTATGAAGGAAACCCGAGACATTTTGTCTGGATATTCCTTCACTACAAGTCAGCAAACATTTAAGGGTCATTGGGGTTGTGCAAAGACTGATAGAGAAGGATGATTTCTATAGATACATGAGTTTAATAGCTTTAACTGTCAGAATGGTTTTCACTCACTTACTGCACAAATTGAAACAATTGAACTCATCTGGTATTTAAAGATTAAATTTGAAATACTGGACTTTGGTTTACAATTTTTACAACAGAGAGAGCTGAGAACAATTTCCTATACAAAGACTATATTATAAAACTTTTATAAATCAGTACAATTTAGTACTGAACCTCAAATGACTCCTCAGTTATTAAAATTGATATACATTCCTTGTAGTCTAGAAGTTTTTAATTTCTTACAAACTGAAACGCAATCCAAGGCACATTTTTTCTTTTTTTCTTTTACCAGATCAGTTAAAGAAACTCATTTACACTGATGAAATGGAGACCCACTGATAGAGCAGTGTATTTACTAGAGCAAGGGTACAGTAAAAATATTCCGCCTTGGATCTGAACATACAACTCTTCAAGTCTGAAGTCCAGACCCATAACTGCTATTCTACACTGCTGCCTAAAAATCCCATTTATAGATGCCATGCATATTTCTTCACCACCTGTTTTACTGTCACTGTTTGACACAGTGTTGGAATATACTGCACGTGGTAATAAACCTGAATCTTCATTACTCTAAAGGCGACCCAAGCATGCCAAATTACCTGGTTCAGTTTAGGCAGTTCCTTCATGTTCTCCAATTTTGACTTGCTCTCTTGGTTCCATAGCCGTAAATAGGTCCGATAGTCAGGAGTGTGTGTCTTTTTAACTGCAAAGAGAAAGAAATGTGAACCAGAATGTTACTGTCACATACTCACAGGTCACAAACTAAAGGACATCTGTGGAAAGTAAAACCAAGAACCATTATGAACCACTATTTTTTATGCAAACAATTGTGAGAGCATGGAACAAGCTACCAAGCCATGTTTTCTAAGCTCATGCCCTGGCTTCTTTAAAGAGCCAAATGAGATACATTGATCAATTTGCTCCAATTAAGCAAACAAGTTAGACAGACCTAATGGCTTGCTCTTGTTTGTACTGCCTCTTGTGTTTTTTTCCCACTGTGCCTAAAGCAGTGCATGTGTTTCTCATTCAGTGATTTTCATGATGTTGTACAGTACTTTGCCTAGTAGTGATATTAACAGAGAATTTGTTTTTTATGATGAAGGGTGGCATTCAACAAATCAAATTCATGTAAAGCATAAGGGGTTGCAGGCTTTCATGTATTTTGAAAATTATATATCTAAGGAGTTTCTGTTTTCTGTTACAAAAAGCAGACTTTTTTGCAGTGAGAAGAGCTGTAGGACATAATAAATGGAACTATTTTCAGAATATCCATATAATAATCTGGACCACACAGTAATCATCTGTACAGTGCAACTTGATTAGGACATATGTAACAATTCACAAAACTCTTTCTTACATTTTTTTACCAATTTAGAGAAAAAAATTAACCAATGAAACTAACAATTAATTTCTCACACTACAAAAAACAACTACTAAAAACCATGACTGCACTCCGAACTGCACAGAACATTAACCCCCAGTTTCACACATTTACAGATACTTTTGAATTCTCTATTAATTTAAGTCCCATATTTCATTGAAGTTATATCTGTCACTGTAATAAGAGTACATTTAATTAACCTATGTTCAGTCAAGAGCATCTCTCTGCAGATTGTAAGCACATTATAAAGCAATCCTAAATTATCCTGGATTCTGGATGAGGTTTAAACCATCTTAATCCTGAAAACTGTTATATTCAAAACCCTGTCAAGGCTTCAGGCAGTAGGTTGCAAAACTAAATTAATAGAGAGAACTTTAATATTCCTTGTTAAGAACCTAAAACATTCATTAATATTAAATAGTAAGAAAATATTCCTTATACATATAACATACTTTTATATATTATTTACCTTTTTCAGTTTTGAAGGTGACTGTTACAAAACCATCATCTTTATCATTTTTAGACTTTGGATCCAGCCCTGTAAACAAGGTAACACATATGTGAATAAAATCAATGTTTAGATTAAATAAAGAAGATAATAAACCCATTAAACTGTATAGTCTTCTTTGCATATTTTACAGAAAAGTTGGGGTACAGTAACATTAAAAGAAATTATAAATCAATCTTAAAACAGTTACTTAGGAATTCCGTTTTTGTTAATTCCTGTGTAGTTCAACAAAAATGCCGTGATGATGAGCTAATCTGGAAAGCTGTTAGTGGGTATTCATGTTGATCAGAAGAGTGTATAAAATGAACAGACGACTAGCCTTATGAAGAAATAATGATCTTTGCATGATCAACATGACATTTTCTTCCAGCAACCAAGAACTACAGACATACCAAGAGAAGTCTCGGGGGTGATATCTTCAAAGAAATACTGGGTAGCTTCAAAAGCAGAATCTGGTTCCTCTTGCTCATGAGCTGGCTCTGTAGGTCACGGGGAAAAAAATTAACACTAATTCTAAGACTGTTCACAACTTAAATGAAGTCAATTCTTGACAAAAAGTATGTGGTGAAAAGGAATAACTGTGATCTTCAACAATAAGGGACATATTTTAATTTCAGT